TTAAATTACTATATGCGGGGGGGGGGGGCATAAAAATGTCAACAAAGTAGCATATTGACATCCATACCAATACTATACTCAGTATCAGTATAATTGAACTAATTTCAAATGGCGCCTGAATCAAAAGATGGGTAAGGTAACTGGCCAATTAATACATTCAAAGTTTCTGGAAACTATACAAAAAAAGGTTTTAAGAAATAATATAAAAGCATAATGCGTCTTTAAATAAAGGGATGGAAATACTTTACAGAACTGTCTTGACATGCACACATGATTTGAAATACTATAGATTCGATAGTAATTTAAGAAATAGAAATAAAAGTTGTGTAAAAGGCCATAGACAATGCAATATCCAAACTCTATATGTATAGGTCTACAAAATACCCAGGAGTTCAAAAAACGCGTCTTAAAGAACGGCTCTTTTGTCTGATTCAAATAATATCAAAATGAACCATTTTGTTACACATATGCATGAATATGGTAGATCTTTGGCCTGTGTTTTTAGAAACGATTGCATTAATTTCTAAATTTTTTATTGCTCACCTTTTACTTTTGAACATGTAGTGAAAAAAAGAAAAGAAAACAAAAAGAACGTTAATATTTATTGCGAGCAGAAAGTTAAATATGTTTAAGCCTTGGAGGTAAAATTTAACATGAAGTACAAATGGATTGCACGACTTCATCAAAATGATCAATATAAATACTTTGAAAACCGATAAAATAGGATTCCTTTGATACCGTACTTTAAGTCAGACCCGTACATGGTCCTATTTACGGACGTTTACTGTAATAACAAGTAGAGGTTTTGATGCTAAAGCATCAAGTCGCCGGATAGCAAAATGAGTGTATTATCATAAATATAAGAAAATATCAGTTTAATGGTTCGAGTTTAAAGAATAGAGGAACAATTTGTTGAGTAATTGTTTATTCATTATAATACATCGTATTTGAAGCAAACTTGCTTAGCAATATTGTCAAGAAACTGCTATCATTATTAAATAATCAAGTATTGTTTTGCAATATTGACCTGAGACTCATTAATTTTCGGGAGGTGTTTCGTTAGTTTCCGTAACTTATTATGATTAAAGATTTTATTGATAGTATAGATCTCAATATTAAATCATTCGATACTGCTCGATGGCCTAGTGGTAAGTATGACGAAGTTGCGACATAAAAGGCGCAAGTCCGAATTTTGGACAATTCCTTTTTGTAGCTTTCATAAATATATGTTTTATTATTCTTTTAACTATATCAAACATAAGTTGATAAATCATGTGTTTCATTTCTAGTATTTTTTCTAATTTCATAATTTTGATTAATTAGTGATATGCCTGTAATTCTACTTGTAATTCTACCTTATACATATACCTTTGTACCATAAATCGAAATCCGTATGGTTTACTTCAGAATTCGATAATTACCGACAAACCGGTCATTGAATATTTACAAAGTGACTATGAAATATATAACCGGTACAGTTTGCTTAGTGGTTAAGGCGTCCGCCTTCGGATCGGGAGGTCGAAGGTTCGAGCCCCACTGTGAACGTTAATTGAAGGATGAATGTTGCTCGCGGGACACGTTCCGAAATGGCCGCTTCGTGAGCCGCGAGGTAGTTAAAATGAATGGTTACCGATTTCTATCCGCCTGGCGCCTGGCATAGTGGTAGAAGTTGGGAGGTACATGGTATGCAAGCAAAAGGTGTCATATAAGTCAGAAATGGCTGGCCCTTTCAGTAGTTGTGACACTATAATAAACAAGACCTTTACCTTTATATATGTTTTAATTATAATGCATGAAACAATACAATATACCATAAAAGTGGTGTCTACATAAAAAATTATTATTATGCTATTTCGAAAAAATATTTAATTTAGTTGATTTCAATATTTCCGTCGTTACATACGATATACCGTCCCAGGATGATAACTTGAGCCTTTGTTTACATAACAATGATTTATAACAATGCGAAAAATAGGTTAGGCAGATTGAAGCCTAATGAATAAAACACAAATTTAAACGAGGCATTTCCATGTGACTTGTTAGCGCAGTATGCAGAGCGTCCGTGTCAGTGTTGTATTCATGCATTTACATGTTCGAATCATAGGTATGATGACATCTGAGAGTTTTTATATATCTTTTTCTTATGTCCAAATAGTTTCGAATGTGTGGGATAGAAGATTTTTTTACAAATGTTGGCATGTACTTGTGTCAAAAGTTTGAGGATAATGTCAAACGTCAAGAAAGCGCATTATTAAAAATGTAAATAATATAATAAAATTAAGTGTTTTTATATTGATCCATGTATATTAAGATTATTATTATTTTTCGTAATCGCGGTGTGTTAAAATAAGTCGATTTTTAAAATGAAATAAAAAGTAACAAAAAAGGAAGGAAAAGAAATAGAAATTAAAAAGAACAAAATATATTCAAACAAAAGACAAAGTGAATAAAATAGGGAGAAACACAATAACAACAACCTCATTATAACATGTCAGAGCGTAGGTTCCGAACCTATGAGTTCAAATCATTGAAAGTTACAGTGACTGTGATTAACCACCTGAGCTATCACGATGATACACATTCTTCTTAGAATTAAACTATATATAGTTGTCGACACTATCAGTCTCGGATAATATGCAGACTTACCCTTTTAATAGACTTTCCCATGTCCCGTTAAGACCAAATTATCATCCTAGGACAGTAGTTAACGTTTAACTACGATAAAATATCAACACAAACAGTCATACCGTTTATCAAGAAAAAATGAAAAGGTTGTGAAAATTTATTTTTGTCGTGTGTAAAATATAAGTATTCAGACTTTTCTAATGATATAAAATATTAAACTGATGAATGGAAAATAACTTTGTAATTATTCGTACAAAATTTCTATGATTTGCATTTTGTCAACCGCCATACCATTCACGAGTTACCTGTATGTCTTATCCGTAATTTTTTACTATTATAAGATTTTATATAACAATGACATACAATGTGTCAATTTCACACGCAATGATCTCCCCTTACATGATTTGGCCGTAGCGTAACCGGTGCGCGGAGTTTGACAATGTGTAGTCATGTGATTCTTACAAAAGAACAGGGAGAAATGTTTATAATTAAATACAATAAAACAATAGAATAGGTCTCATAAAATATAAAAGACAAAATAGTTTAAAAGTGTCCTTTTAAATATCATCCATGATTTACTTATCATAAAACAGCAATGATTGCCACTTAATTAAAGAAAAAGTATCCCTTAATTAAATGACTTATCCATAGCGATACATTATAATTTCATTTTATAAAGAAAAATGTAATGTTGTTATTTAAAATGTCAATGTTTGTATATTTCATTTCATCGAGCAACGTTATTATATGTCTGAATTTTTAAAATTATGAAAAATAATTGTGGTCCTAAAGTGTTCAATAATTGATTTGCTTTTATTTTCAGATTTTAAGGCCTTCTCTACCAAAGAAGTAGTTTTAAACTGTTACAAATATAGTCGCGGTTTCTACCGGCAACTAATAATAAAGATTATTAAAAAAATAATGTTGCTGCCGCTGTATGAAATAGATATAGTAGACAACGAAATCATCGACAAAAGGAAAAAAACCCTACTTAAAAGGGCAGAACAATGTTTCAGACCATATCATTTTTATTTCGTTTAGATGTAATATTCATGTGCGTTAAATGACATTCTATTTTACAACTCTAAGACTATGAAACCAATACAATTTTATCGCGGAAACAAATAAAAGAACAATATTAAGTAAGCTGATTAAATTTCTTAAAGATCCTGTATGTTGTAATTCAGGCTGTATACCGGTGGTAGTGGTGTTTGTAGTTTTCACTCAGGATCACGACAGTAAGCCACATTGAATTCACCAGAGCATAGTTCGACCACTACATCGTTCCTGGGCAGGGTGTGAAGCAGTTTACCAGGACTTGTTGCATTCACTTTCGCAAGGAACTAAAACTTTTATACATGCCAGAGCAGAGGTACCGGTACAGTGCGAATGACCGTAGAAAGGATTTCGTGATGCATCACAACGAAAGTGACCTGCGCCGTCCGGTAATCGAACCCAGGTCGCCCGACCAATGTAATATGTATATAATTATGCTTATAAAACATTTTTCAAACATCCTAGAATATGTAAAATATGTACTGCAAATATTTGTAATCATTAAATGAAATCATTACAAAATATATGCATTCATTTCTAATTTGACTTAGATTTTATAAAAAATAAATTTCTTATTACCTCCCTTTATTTACATGAAATGTTATATTCGGTAATATCTTTATAAATAATGCTTTTTGGAAATAACAATATTTGAGCCGTGTCACGACAAAACCAACATAATGGGCTTGCGACCAGCATGGATCCAGACCAGCCTGCGCATTCGCGCAGTCAGATCAGGATCCATGCTGTTCGCTTACCAACTCTATTACAAGTGGAGAAACTGACAGCGAACAGCATGGATCCTGATCAGACTGCGCGGATGCGCAGGCTGGTCTTGATCCATGCTGGTCGCAAACGCACTATATTGGTTTTGTCGTGACGCGGCTCATTTATAAATCTTAATTTGAGAAACATATTAATTTTATTATATAAACATACAAAAATGTGTTACAGGATCTTTAAATTAAACCTGCTTCAAACTGACTTATACATTAACAAAATCATTATTGTGAGTATTCGTATATATATAGAACTATACAACATTAGTCTATTCACATTTCAGTCAATGTCTATGCAGAATAAAATAACTTTGTTAACACATGGATAAATCCTTTTTTCTATGAGGCACATCTTGGAGAATATATAGACGAATGAATAATGTACTAATCCCTCTTGCATTTTAGGGTATAAACTCATGTTTCGTATATGAGTATTTGCATCTTCACCACAAAATCGAGCTTTAGTTTTAATGAAATGTAATTGATTAAGAATGATTGTTTATTTAACATGTTTCAAAAACATGTTTTCAAAGCAAATGTTCAGTCTTGGCATAAACTAAAGGAGGAGTCCGTTTGTTTCTCAAGCTGTTGTAACCCTTTATCTATTCTGAACGTCGCATATTTCCCTGGATTGGTTGTATCTTTACCAATAAGCATTGATATTGCTTCCACTCCTGATCCATAATCATCGTCAGCACATACCATTGCACCACTATCACCTTCCCTACACAGAACAGCTGTTGCATTAGCCCTGTCTTCGACTATGATGTACGTCTTATCATGGTTCCTATCGCGAACTTCAGGAATAGTTATAATCCCTAACCCTGGAGCAGTTACAGCACCCCAAAGATGAACGCGTCTGCTATCAAGTTGCTTGTTTTCATACTCACAATCTTTTCGAGGCAAAGATTTCCCGCATTCTGACTTAAATCTTGTATCACAAATGGGTGTATCCCTTGGATTTATTTCAGCAGCCGAAATATCCAAAATCGGTTCATCAGTGTCATCAGCAACTGTTTCTGGGATAAGTCTTGATCGAATAGAGGAATTCTGATCGAACAGAGATACACGCATGTCTTTTGAGTAGATAGCAACGTGCCTTGAAACTAAGGCACACATGTCTCTTGAGTTTCTTTTCGCATAACCTCCCAAAGACCCATGTGAAGTGAAAACGTCAGTAGGGCATGCTCTGGCACCGACTCCAATAAACGACTTATATGTACTAATTGCAGGAACAATTTCAAAGTCGTTAATGCCATTTGTTTGCAAAACTTTTTGTATCGAGTTTTTAATTTCGTCATTGCTCACATCATCGACAAAAACCTGGAGAGTACCATATCGATATCCACAACTTTTCACGGAAGAATCAATTTTGTAAAGCTCATTTGAAACCTGAAAAAAGGGAGAAAGCAAGAAATAATTTTTGATCAGCTAAAGAACAGAATTCTGTTAAACATTATAACGTCTTTATTCGTACTATTGTTTAAGTGCAGAATACCATCATAGAAAAACGATGTTTCTTTAAATGAAGTAAGAATCGTACCTCGTCACCTACTTTATGTGGAAAAATTACTCTGACATCTGGCTTCTTATGTTCCGGTATTCTGCTTCTTTTGAAAACTCCTAAGATTTCTTTGTAGAGACGTTCAGAAGAATCTTTACAATGATCTACATTTTCTGCAAGTATCAATATCAAAAATATATCCTCACAAAAAAAAAATACACCATAACGCAAACTGTTTTCCTTTTAATTTGTTTATATATATAAGAAACTAATATGAATCATTACTATTGTCGACCTTCCGAGTGATTTTACTTACGATTGTACGGAATGGATTAAGTTAAATTACTCAATATACATGTATTACTAATGCCAACAACACGAACTCGACTATTTAACTGCAGCGGGATATATTACATTTTTAATTTGAAAAACAACAAAAAAACTTCTTCTTGATATAAACACTCATTAAAACTTAATAATTAATTGGAATTAAAAGCAAGGTACTCGTTACCTTTTGCGTTTTTTTTTTGTGTTCTTATTTTGGATGGATGTGAAAGTATGGTGGCTTATTTTGCAATGTCGTATTTCGCTCAGCAGAGAGGCGGACGAAAAAATGAAAATCAATGACTTTGTCGTATTATTGTGATTTCGACTTGCGAAAGTAAAATAGCACAAATCAGGCACTATAGTAAATTGTGGTTATATTAGACAGTCCTGATTTTGTCATTCCTTTTGATTTGTTTTGATTTGGAGTACAATAGTTTATGTTCTGTTAAAGAGTTAAACACACGTCTCTAAATACCTAAATACAGAACCAGTACAGCTTTATGAAAAAAAATCATACCTTCCTTCCTTTTTTCCAGATGTTTGGCTCTCGTGTGAACTTTCTTGTTTTCAGATTTGTATGGAGTCTTTCTGTATCTTTTCCGCTCTATCTTCTCAGGCACACTTTCTTCTAGTCAAGTGAATACAAAAAAGTAAGAAATAGAGTTTATTTGAAAATTAAGGATGAAGTAATGAGTACAAATAAGACAAATATTATGTAATATAGACAGAAACAAAATGTTCACAAACAGGAAAGCTATTTCATCTAAAAAATGTAATGGTGCTTTAGATATATTTAATGATTTTCTTTTTATTTATATGTATCTACTATAGTGAAGATCAACTATAACCAAAAATTTCAGTTTTAGACTTGCCTTTTCTTATCCCATATTTTTGATCGTTTTGTAAAGATTTGTCTAATGTTTCAGCATAAGACTTCATAGGTTCAAACATACTTTCTTCAAGTGTAAGACTTGCAATATCCTTTAAGTCTTCTAAACGAGAGACTTTGATATTTGGGTCTTTTTGAAAAATATTGTTGGCATCTGTATACTCTTTTGTATCAGTTGCAACAACTATGATTTTGCAATTTAGATTATTGTTGTTGACGAAATATGTGTTTATCTTATATGGAACGACAAGCACATCTCCACTGTCTACTTTTTGCAAAATCTGCTCTGTTGTAAATGATTCAATCTTGAGTTTTTCCTCCTTGTCGTCGGGAATGAATTCCTTTTCTACAGAAGCGTTGAAAACTGATGAACACCTAGTTGTTCGCTGCCTACACAAAATGAAGTATTTGCCTTGAGTTGTATTTGTAAATGGACTTCGAATGCATCTTTTTTCGCCTAGATCAAAATATCTTTGTTCGAGGTCGTCAAGTTGTCTCTTTATCTTATTATACCAAGGGAAGTAAAGTCTGCTTGGAGGAATTCGTGTGCAATACAGTGGCGGAGACATCTTTATATTCTTCAAAGAGAAAATATTAGCATTTTTTATAATTTTAATTTACATGTTGTTATAAAGTCTTTTAATGTAGTAAGATTTCATTAAACAACATTTTATGATCATAATTATATACTCATTGATTTCTTTGTTGGTTTGCAAAAACGTTTGATTCATGTGTGACTTGCAAAAATTCCATTTATAAGACTGATGTTTTATATAACTTTTTTGGAAATGATATATTTGCAAAATAATATTTTTTGATTATAATGCCCGCCTCCATTGTTAAAACGATAAAATGTCCAATATAACTATTTAAAAAAATGCCCGTCAGTATACTGTCGCTGTGAATACTAGATATTTTTTGTTACGAGGTATATCGTACATATTAATATAAAATGATTACAAGGTTAGCTTTTAAAAAAGCTAGTAGCGACTCGCTTCGTAATTTTTTTCCAGGGGTGCGTTTAAATGTAAAAATGATAGTTCTGTTAGCTGAAGAGACTTCAGCAAACATCAAAATAAAAGTGAAATAAAGTTATGGAAGCCAGTTCTCTAAGTTTAACAAAGAGGAATATGAGTATATATGAAGATGCATGTAAACAGATAGAATGAAGTCCCTATGTCTATGCACATTTACTGTATGGCCTGTTGACTTTGACCAAATAATTCTTAGATAGGTAGACTTCATAAAGATGTCTCTTTATACGAAGTTAAGTTGTAATATGTTATTTAGTATTGGAATGAGTGACAGACACAAGTCCTAAAGTAAACACAATGTGTCAGAAAAGCCGGGATCCTATTAAAAAAATATAGGGATCCCGGATTTTGACCAGTCTAAGATGTTTTTCAGATAAGCCGGGATCCTATTAAAACATATCGGGATCCTGGGAATTGACCAGTTCAATAATATAGTTTTCAGAAAAGCCGGGATCGTATTAAAATATAAAGAGATCCCAGGAATTGGCCAGTTCAAGAATATAGTTTTCAGAAAAACTGGGATCGCATTAAAACATAAAGGGATTCCGGGATTTGACCAATTCAAGAATGTAGTCTTTGATTTTTCCAATTAATTAGGCATATAATTATAAGTATTGGGATTTCCGCATTTTAATAAATACCTCTAAATATATTTATATCCTAAGTTTGATTAATTTAACGTTCATTACATACAATAAAAAAAACTTAACTTTTAATGTCCTTTCATTACGACAATAATCAATACAAATATAGTTTATTAGTTTTTCCTCTATATCTTATACGATCCCGGATCCTGGCCAGTCCGGGCCTCCCGGACCCCGGCCAGTAAATATATACACTAAATACCGATAAAGGATAAAATGACCGGAAAAAAGGAAAAAGAAAAAAATGCACAGAACCAGATGTACACTTATGTTAATTAACCAAACGAAAACTTACTACAGAGGAACAGGTGAGATCGCTAAAACAAAAGACAGTGTAAATATGATTTTTTGAAAAGAATTCACGAAAACAAACATTTTAATCATCATTATATCTTTGCGCTCAAAATAATACTTGCTGCTTTTTAAAAATGGCGTGAAAATTGAAGGTTTTTTGACGCTATGACAGATTAAATTTGATTGGCTAAATAATTTTGGATCCTAGCCCTGATAGATAAATTTTGTAGAAAGCTGGAAGCCAAGCTTCGATTAAATTTTTGGATGGATTCGGAGTTTTAGGCTGTTTTTCAGTAAAATCCTAACGTAATGCCGTGGCGAGCCGGCATGAGAGTTATGTGGGTTAGTTCTTGTGTGTTCACTGTTGTAGTACTTTTGTGGTGTATGAGCGAACGCTTAAACCTGTACACTGTGAATATTGAAAATTTTTTATTTGATTATAATAGTTTCTGTTACTTTGAATCTTTTTATTTCTGGATTTTTGTACAGTATGTTTGTTTTTATGGCCCTATTACACAGGACTGATTTTAAGAAAATGTGAATGCTAGAAGCATTTTATAGTACAAGTGGTATCTTGAGTGTTTCAACCTAATTTGGGTATGCTGAAGACGATGGGGTGGACACCAAGAAAATAAAATTGACCTTGACCTTCAAAAGGTCAATTCAAAATGGCCGCTTGAAAATACTAAATAGGTCAGTAAAAGTTTAATGATATAATAATGTCATTAATTATTTTTGTCAAAATCAAATGTTTACTCAATATTCTCAAAGTAAATACAATTAGGTTATTATATAATAATGGTCTGGCTTTATAACGTTAATTCGTAAAAATCGCCCAAAAAATGGTCAAAAAGGCCATATACAAATGCACAACCTTTTTTTATTTCGCAGAGCATGATTATTTTTATGTAATGAAAAATTACATTTTGTTATTAAACTAAGGTCATATTTAAGTGTCTACTGAATGAATTTTAAACTAAAGCTTTTAAAAACCTTTACTGTGTTATGAAATAAAGCTCTCAATATGGTCTCATATGTATGTGTCACATCACACCCATGTATTGAGTGCACAATTGTTTACATGAACACATAGCAATATATTTGCCAGATTCTGAGGAACTGGCTCAGATTAGTCGTTTAGTATTCTAATATATTGTTTCCTAATTTATTACGGCTTAAGAAAGTGCCAAAGGCTATGCCGGTGTCAAAAATAAAAACGATAAAACGGCAGATAGAAATAAATACAAGTATAAACATTTCCAAAAAAATTGCTAGGAATCGCCATTTAGCCGGGCATTCGAACTTAGAAACATGCGAAGAAGACTCCTTCCTGAAAAATATAGAGCTAATGTTTCTTCTTTGATAGAAATATTCCATATACTATTTACCCCTTTAAAGCCTACACTGTGATTTCAAGCTTCGTACATCAAGAAAGTATTTCAATTCTATATATAGGTTGCCCGTCAAAAACAGGGACTAATGGGCGTGGCGTGCTCCTTAGCCCTCCCCCATTTGAAGTCTTTTGTCGTCCATTTTGATATCATGCAGTATTAAATTATGGGTTTAAATGGCTTAGGGCCGGTGGTGTTCGGATATAAATGACGGTTGAATCTTGTTAATTGTATATGTCGCCATCCAGGAACGGCAACAATAACCAAACAGCTAGGTAATGGAATTTTAACCAGTGATTTGTTTATAAATTAGCGTTGACTGGCTTGGAGATTCCTCATGAAACATTCCCACTGAATTTAGGTCTTTCATGGAGAACCCCGAGGATTCTTATGTAGCTAAGGCTGTGAGCGTGTTTTTTCTATGATCCCATTTAACTTTGAACCTAGGTTGGTCAAAGGTACCACTAGTACTTTGAGCCTTGGATATTCAATGACAAAGGCAGTTGGAATGTTTTCGAGATGTCAAATAGTGGGCGTCTTGTTGGACACAATAGGCAAAGCTCAATATTGTTATGTATTTTGCATAATAAATTAGTAACAGTCGTATCTTTCTTTATGTGATATGATAATTGATTCTCGGTTCAGGATTAAATCCCTCAAGAGCCAGATGAAAGGCATTTGAAAACCCGGTTAATCTTTTAAGACTTTGGTAAACGGGTTATATATTTGAGCCGAAAAAGCCATTAGCATTAACTAGCGTACTTTGTTTATAACAAGTCAGGTTTAAACTGTCAAGCAAGGCTTCAAATTAACAAATAATCTCTGCACTGTCCAAGAAGCCAAATCACCGGTTTGTAAATACCAACAGAACTAGTCCATGTGTGTGGGATAAATGAAGTAAAAGCATGTAGAATAGAGAGACGTGGTGGTAAGAACTGTTGAGCAATAATACCAGTCTACCGATAATTCTTCTACAGCTTTGCCCATCAATTATGTGTTTGAGGCTATGACGGAACTTAGGTACGACTTGTATAGGTAGCTCTAAAATTGTATCATGTTGCCATTGAAGATGAGTGTCTTGTGGGGGACATAGGTTCCGCTTTTAACTGGCTAGTGATCTATGTCCCAGTACGGAATGGTAGGGGAAGAGAAGTTTAAGGCTGACCATTTGGTAAAGTTGGAAGTAAGGAGTAAGAAAGACAGTACTTGAATTATATTAATGTACTCGATGGTTAAGTAGATCAATACCTGTAGAAACTGATTCCTCAAATTTAAGACAGCTTATTGATTTTAGTAGCCATAATCAGAATTTGGGCCGGCAAACTACTTTAGTCTTTTACAAAAAGTTATTAATGAAATTACAATAACTGCTTAATTTGTATTGCAATAACATTGATTACTCTAACCTCTCTCCAGTGAATGAAGGAATTACATAATTTTACATACGTAATCATGATAACTTCTTATTACTTTCTATTGTCTTGTTTTGAAACTGCTAAGGCCTAGCTATTTTTTTTAACATTAAGAATTTGACAAATTTGGAGAACAAAACTTACACATATATTATTATGCGTGGCAGGGGGTTTCCTGTGAAGGAAATTGAACAAGCATTTAACAGCAAAATTTAAAGACATGACCATAATGCATCACATTTGATGACAAAGTCACAGGGAGATAAATGTTGCCAACGAAAGTTTTGTGTCTTTTTTCATAATCTGGGCTCGGGGATTTATGGTTCAAAATGAGTTTTATAATTAATTAATTACATGTATTAATTAACTATGCAATATCACAGGCGTTTGGCACATTTGCTTTGCCAATAATGTTCAAATAATCATAAAACAATCTCCCCTTCATCATCCAGTACCTATTTATTATATAAGATATTTTATATAGTTGTTCTTGATGCTATAAAGGTAGGGCTAATATTTAAATTTATGGATAGAAAACTCAGCCATTATGAAATAAACAGCCATTACGATAAAAGTCTGACTTATGAGATTCGAACATTTTGATTGACTGTTTGACATGACCATTATGAAGCTAACTCTACACTGGGGACTGTAAATTATGTGTCTGTTTAAGTTATATAATTATCAAATTTCTAGTGACGATATAAATCATTCTACTTAACATTTCCTGAATTTCCATATCTAAATGGGTGGATTGCATTGGGCAACTATGAGATGTACGAGTAAACCATTTA